ACACAACAGGGACGTCCACTCTTGCCACTGTCATTCAGCATAGTATTGGAAGTCTTAGCCTCAGCAATCAGGCAGCACAAAGGGTTAAAAGGCAGGAAAATTGGCCAGGAGGAAGTCAAACTTTAATTATTTGCATTTGACATGATACTCTATATGGAAAACCCAAAAGAGTACACCAAAAACTACTGGAACTGATCCATGTATTCAGCAAAGTCACAGAATATAAAATCAGTGCACAGACATTGTTCACATTCCTATACACCAATAGTGAAGCAACAAAAAGAGAAATCAAGGAATCGATCCCATTTACAGCTGCACCAACACCCATAAAATACCTAGGAATAAACCTAACCAAACAGGGAAAAATCTGTACACTGAAAACTGTAGAAAGCTGATGAAAGAAATTGAAGAAAACACACAAAAATTGAAAAATATTCCATAATCCTAGACAGGAAAAACGAACACTGTTAAAATGTCAATACTACCCAAAGCAATCTACATATTCAATGCAATTCCTATCAAAATAATACCAGCATTCTTCACAGAGCTAGAACAAACAATCCTAAAATTTGTATGGAACCCAGAAAAGACCCCAACTGGACAAAGCAATCCTGAAAAGAAAACCAAAGCTGGAGGCATCAGAATCCCAGACTTCAAGCTATATTACAAAGCTGTAATTGTCAAGACAGTATGGTACTGGCAGAAAAACCCACTCAGATCAATGGAACAGAAAAAAGAACGCAGAAATGAACCCACAAACATATGGCCAACTAATCTCGGACAAAGCAAGAAAGAATATCCAGTGGAATAAAGACAGTCTCTTCAGCAAACGGTGTTGGAAAAACTGGATGGCAACATGCAGAAAAATGAACTTAGACCATTTTCTTACACCATACACAAAAATAAACTCAAAATGGATAAAAGACCTAAATGTAAGACCGGAAGCTATCAAAATCTTCAAGGAGAAAGCAGGTAGAGACCTCTTTGATATCGGTCACAGCATCTTCTTACTCAACACCTCTCTGGAGGCAAGGGAAACGAAAGCAAAAATGAACTATTGGGACCTTGTCAAAATGGGAATAGGCGAAGATACCTGCAAATGACCTATCAGATAAAGGGTTAGTATCGAAAATCTATAAAGAACTTATCAAACTCAATACCCAGAACAAACAAATACTGCAGTGAAGAAATGGGCAAAAGACATGAATAGACACTTCTCTAAAGAAGACATATAGATGGCTAACAGACACATGAAAAAAATGCTGAACATCGCTGATCATCAGGGAAATACAAATCAAAACCACAATGAGATACCACCTCATGCCCGTCAGAATGGTTAACATTAATAACTCAGGCAATGACAGATGTTGGTGAGGATGCAGAGAAAGAGGATCTCTTTTGCTGTTGGTGGGAATACAAACTGGTGTAGCATTCTGGGAAACAGTATGGAGATTCCTCAGAAAATTAAAAATAGAACTACCATATGACCCAGTAGTTGCACTACTAGGTATTTATTCAAGGGATACAGGTATGCGCTTTCAGAGGAGCCTGTGCACCCCAATGTTTATATCAGTGCTATTGACAATAGCCACAGTATGGAAGGAGCCCAGAGGTCCAGCAATGGATGAATGGATAGATAAGATGTGGTATATATACAATGGAGTATTACTTGGCAATCAAAAAAGAATGAAATCTTGCCATTTGCAATGAACTGGATGGAACTGGAGGGTATTCTACTAAGCAAAATTAGTCAGAGAAAGACAAATATCATATGACTTCACTCATGCGGAGTTTAAGATACAAAACAAACATAAGGGAAGGGAAGCAAAAATAATATAAAAACAGGGAAGGAGACAAAACATAAACTCTTAAATACAGACAACAAACAGAGTTGCTGGAGGGGTTGTGGGAAGGGGGTAAGGGGCATCAAGGAATCTATTCCTGAAATCACTGTTGCACTATATGCTGATTAACCTGGATGTAAATTTAAAAACTAATTAATTTATAAAAAGTGTCAGATGCTCAGCCAAGTGAGCCACCTAGGTACCCCCTCAAGACAGGACATTTAATGCAAGCTGTGCTTAGTGGAAAATTTTATAATCTTGAGTGCACTTAAAAAATAAAGACAGGGGCGCCTGGGTGGCTTAGTCGGTTAAGCGTCCGACTTTCGCTTAGGTCATGATCTTGCTGTTCGTGGGTTCGAGCCCCAAGTCGGGCTCTGTGCTGACTGCCAGCTCAGAGCCTGGAGCCTGTTTCAGTCTGTGACTCCCTCTCTCTCTGACCCTCCCCTGCTCACACTGTCTCTCTCTCTCTCCCAGAAATAAATAAATAACATTAAAAAAATTAAAAAAAAAAAATAAAGACAAATTATTCTCAAAATATCTTTCAAATAGTAAAAGTACTTAAGGTAGCTAGAAAGAAGGGATAAGTAAAAATTAATGAAATAGGAAGTCTACAACAAAATCAACAAAATTAAGTTCTTTTTTTGAAAAGACCTCCTCCATGGCGCAGTGTTCAAGGACAGAAAGAAAATCAAGAATAAAAAAAGGGGGACACAGGGATTCTGATCCCACAGTCATTTAAAACCATAAGAATGGTATTAAAAATTCTTTTTGGTGAACTTTAGGTACAGAAGTTACAAAACTGACACAAGAAGAAACAAAACACTAATTGGATAGCTCTTAGGGAAACTGAATCTGTAATGAAACACTTTCACACACATGCTCTAGACCTACATGGTGTCACATTTGAATTTTAGTAAAAATTTTAGAACACTAATCATAAACTGTTTCAAAAAGTAGGAAGACAGAACATTCTTTTTTAAAATGAGACTAGCATAATCTTGATTCCCAAATCTGACAAGGATATTACAAGAACAGAACCCACTGGACAGCCAGTCTCCGGAACATTGATAAAGTATACACATCTGAAATGAGTTTACTTATTAAATAAATAAGATAAGCTGGGTGTTTAACATCTTCAAAAAATAAATGAGTAAAACATCAAAAAGGGGGTATCAGTTGGAAAGGAGAAAACAAGACTATTATTTGTAGATGATGCTATTATACTTAGAAAACCAAAAAGTATCCATAGGTGACCTACTAGGACTAACAGGTGAGTTTAGCAAGTTTGCTGAAACCAACTCAGCACATAAATGCCAATTTTAATTATACTAGAGCCAATTAGAAACTGAGAATTTAAAAACTGCCATTTACTGTAACATCTAAAATCAAGAAGTACCTAGGAGCACATGCTAAGACAGTTGTTACCCTTCGTCTATAGAGAAGTATAAAATATTAAATGAAATTAAGTAAGACCTAAATAATTGGAGAGGTAAACCGTGTTCACTGATTGAAGAATCACTATTGTAAAGATAATGGTTTTGGCCAAAGTGATGTGTAGATTAAGCACCATCATCAGCAGATCCCAGGAGCCTTTCTTTTTTCCAGCTCTAGAAAATGAGATTTCTGTAAAAATGTACGAGTCCTGAATAGCTAAGAGAATTCTGAAGAACAGACAGAGGTGGAAGACTTATACTATCACTTATCAAGAGTTATTATTTTAAAAATTACAGTATCAAAGCAGTAAAATTGAATGCAAGGGTAGAGAAATAGATCAGGCTAGAGATTTCATAAACAAACTCATACATATATTATATACATGGACAGAGGTGGTATTTCAGTGTTGTTACTGCCAGACCATGGGAGGTGGAAGTTTTTTTTAGTAAATGTTGCCACATCAGTTGGAGCTCTGTATTGGGGTTGGGGCAGGGAGGGAGCAAAGAGACTTGATCTCATACATCCTCAAAACCAACTGCACATGAATTACTGATCTGAATGAAGCTTCAAGGACGGTATAAAAGAGCATCTTCACACAAAAGCCTCCTCAAGACTGAGGCACGCAAAAATTTACTTAAACTGGACAAAGAAGGCACCACCCAAAAAGAGTAAACAGAGAAGTTTCTGTCAAAATTAAGTCAAAACCACCACTAAAGGAATGAAAAGGCAAGAAAAAAACCTAGTGGAAAATATTTGCAGTTTAAATAACTGATAGAAGGCTTACCCCATATATATAAGGATTAATAAATAAGGATTAATTTTGTGGTGTTAGAAGTGAGGGTAGTAATTACCTTGAGAAAAGGAGTAGTGGTTAATGGCGGGGCAGAAGCCACAGAAGCATTTCTGGGGTTCTCCTAAATTTCCATTTCTCAATCTGCACGGAGTAGTTTGCTTTGTAAAATTTTATCACAGTGTCCACTCGTCATTTGCAGTTGACGGTTGTTCAGAAAATGTTCATGTTGCGAAAAGACATTATACCTATTGATACGGCTCTCCCCTTTGGGGGTTCTGTCCCCCAGGAAAAGCACCTGTCCCTCAAAACATGTGTAGAAAGGACCCTGAGCCATGTCTGTGAGATGATACGGTGTTTTACTGAAGCACCACTTGGGCTACCTGAAGTGCCTGCTACTGAGAGAGCGGTCAAGTATACCATGGGATATCCATTCTCTGGAATGTTCCACCTTCATTCTGAAGAAATTTTATATCCTAGCTGCAGAGATTTTTCTATGATCTTGGAGAAGGGTGGGAAGGCATATTATTACCTGAGGTTGAAGGAGAATTAGTGACCAGGGCAGACACTTAATTTAGTTTTTCATGGCACATCTTTGTAAAATTAAACCATTTCTTAGATGCTTTTACTGTGGCTCCCTGGGGCACCCCATGATGTTGACAGCAGACTCTTGCCTTCATCTTCTCTTCTCTTATGGTGGTTAGCTAACCTCAGTTCACTCTTTGGGCCCTGAATGATTATGGCTTATAACCAGAAGACGAGTGAGAGCTTTCAAGAGAGCCTAGGCCTTTCCAGATAGGATGTGATGCATATAGTTGGAGTGCATGGCTATACCATGGGTACCGTCTAATGCGATTATGCTCACAAGTCTGAGTCCTATGAGATACATTTATTCCTAACTTTAGAGTTCTGGCTTGTTCTTTTCTTTCAAGCGGGAACAAGAAAGTCAAATGGCTCGTCTGAAAAAACAGCAAGAGGAATTAGAACAGATGAGACTGCGTTACCTGGCTGCTGAGGAAAAAGATACAGTCAAGACGGAAAGACAAGAACTGTTGGATATAAGAAATGAATTAAACAGGTATGACAACCAAAATTCCCTTTTTTCCAGACACTAACACAAATTCCAGGAGGAGAACCTCTTAACTGACTATTGGTCCAGGGAAATACAATGTCAGGGCTTTAAAGAAAAACGGTAGTGGACTAGCAAAAGAGGAAGTCTACACTCAAGTCTATTATTCACATTTTTTTTTTTTGCCATAAACGTAGCTGTATTGAGCTGTTTTTTTTCCTATGCGTAGCATTAGTCCTTTACATTTTATCTTTGTATGACTGCTGTAGGATTGTTGCTACTATTTCATGGTGGTTGATTACACAAAATTTTTAATAACATAAAATTAAGACACTTCAAATCTAGTTGTATTGTTAATATGAATAATAAAATTGCCCTTACTTACTGAGCCCTTACTGTATGCCAGGAGCTGTTGTAAATGCTTTCTTTGCTTTTTTTTTTTTTTAAATCTTGAAAGCAGCTTTTTGATGAAGGTATCATCCCCATTTAGAGATGAGGAACCTGCTGATTAGGGCTTTGAGTACCCTTTCCAAGGTCACATAGCTAGTAAATCATGGAGCCAGAGTTCACACGTGATTCTGCGGCTGTGTTTTTAATTACTGTTCAGCACTGGACTTCTCTGGAACGTCATGTTCATCTGAGTTACCATTTCAGCAGTGTTGCATGTCAGAAAAGCCATCATTAGAAAGCAGCCTAAGAACAAATTATATTCTTTTGGGAAGGGAATTTGGGGGAAGGCTTTTTAAATTAGTTTCTCAAGATAATAGTATTTTTGTTTCAGCAAAGCAAACTTGGGCTGTGGTTGGTGTATGCTGGGTGACTTCAATAACTGAAGTTTCTTTCTCACAGTGCTAGAGGTTTGAAGTTCAAGATCAAGGAACCAGCTTGTTTAGTTTCTGGTGAGGACTCTCTGGCTTGTACACAGCTGCTTCACACTGTCCTCCCACTGTCCCTTGCGTCTTTTCCAGTGTGAGCACTAATGCCAGCATGAGATCCCCCCCGCCCCCATGATCTCATCTAAACCTACTCATCTCCCGAAGACCCTTTCTCCAAATACCGTCAGATCAAGGATGAGAGCTTCAGCATATTAACTTTGAGGGACACCACATTCAGTCCACAGCACATACAGGTGACAAATGCAGTCACTCTCGTAGGTGGGTTCAGAGCTGAATTCAGCAACTACACTTAGCATACTTGTGTGTAAACATAATTGGAAAGGGTTCAGGTCTGTGGTGCCACACTGCAGGGCTCCCTTTTTGGTTTTTAGTTTTTAGTCAGCACATATTTGGTGTCCACTGTGTTGTAAACGTGGAAGAGTTTACAAATTAGTAACCGGATCCTTGCCTTCCAGAATTTTACTGCCATATTCATAGAGTGCATGTTTTGGTTTTAGTTTAATATATATTAAGCCTCTGCTCTTTATTAAGCATGGTTTTGGTGGCTTATATGAAGATAGCCGTTTGGTATCAAATTTGTAGATCATGCAAAATTAAATCTTATTAATATGATATTAAAATTATTAATCTTAATTAGGATTTAGAGAGAACTTAAGGCAATAAGGATATTAGAAACAAAAGCAGAGTCCTCTGCATAAGTTATAAGAAAAACCTCTTAAGTGCTAGGCAAGACATAATAAAACAGTTGATGTGAGGAATCCCGGGAGGATTTAAGGCTACTAGTTACAGTGTGACTTGGCTGTGAAAGTGCCGTTGCAGTTAGGGACATTCACAGAGGTGTTCAGTTTCTCGGCACTGGTAAAATCCCACCTGGGGCGTTCTTTTCTTACCCATGTGCAGTACATTTTTAAGTTAGTCACCTACCTAGAGAGTTTCCGATGGAATGTGACTAAAAATGAGGTGAGGAGAGTGAGGGATACTGAACTTGAGAACGCTAGGGCAGAGTATTAGATAACTGTCCTCAGCTAGCTGGAGGGCTCCCGAGTTAAAGACAAGTCGGGGCCCTTCTTGAACAGCACCGTAGCCAGCTGTTGCAAAGGAGAAGGCTACAGACTCGGTTCTGTATAAGAAAGGACATTCTAACAGAGCAGCGGTACAGAGCAGTAGGTTGCTAGTGACAGAAGTGTGCAGGTGGAGTCCAGATACAGCGTTTGTCACAGATGTAGCGTTTCCTTTGACAACGTTATGGGCTTCTTCAGCTATAAGGTTCTAAAGATCTGTGAGCCTGATTGGTGATTTGCGTTTTAGTGAAGATGCAGTAGAGATAATCTATCACTTGTATAAAAATCAGGTTTATCCTTCATGTGTAAACAGATGAACAAGAAAATGGCTGGAGTTTCTAATAGAGTTGGATGTCCTGTGTCATTAGTTTGCATGGAGGACCTCTTTCTCCACGAGAACTACACATGCTACAGCAGGGGCAGCATCCATCTGCACCCTGTCTCCAGTAACCACTTGATTTCCACCCCTGTCCCAGAGCACAGCGCTTTCACTACCTAGGCTCTTTCTCTCAGAACAGATGGAAATGTGTGGTATCCTTCTTGGACTGCAGACTTCAGTTTCCTGTTCTTCCATGGGGAATCATATAGAGGGTCCTCTGAACAGACCCAAGTGTATACTGTCAGCAGTCCCGCACCCTTTCTGGGGGCTCAGTTCTCCGTGTCTGTGAGCAGGACTCTCCTCACAGGTTCTTCCTGCCTCACCCTGACTCTGCCTAAGTTCACAAGCGAATTCACTTCTCACTGGCATCGTTACTCTAAAGACCATCTAGAAGCAGGGGCTTAGACTCAATGCTTCATCCTTCTCATTTATAAAAACAAAATTCAGGAGTAGTTGCAAGTTAAAACGTTTTTATAGCTACTTGCTAGAGGAGTCTGAAGTTCTCTCTTAAGTGTATATTCTCAATTAAAACAACACCTACGCCATGTCCAAACCTGGTATTATTATCACGTAGTAAGTATACTATGTATTTGACATTTCCAAGGCAATGTGCATATTATTCTATGTACCAGATTCCAGTCTCATACCTGCTCCATTCTCTCCCAGATGAGGAGGGACATTGAACTATAACAAACATATCGTGAAGACTTGCATACAGAGCCTTCAAGTGTCCGTGCCCTCTGGACCAGGCGTTCACATCTGTACGGTTTCACTTTCTACGGATGCTTAGTGACCTCAGCTCCATAATGGAAAGTTTTTGTCATGATCCACTGTAGAATCCCCAAAACCTAGCTCTGTGTGGTACCAGTAGATATTTGTGGAATAAACTACAAGGGAATTCTGTTCAAAACAACAACAAAGGTTGAACCACAACCTAAAGATCAGCGATAAAGGATGATTAAGTAAGGGTACATTCAAATGATGGAGCATTGGGGAGGCCTTTTAGAAGAACCCTTAGAGATGTAAGAAAACATACGTTATATTAGTAAGTGAAAAGAATTGCAGACGGCCTTGCCTATATACTATCATCTATCTCTGTTTTAGAAAAGCATTTAAAATACATATGTATTTTTAAGTGAAAAGGCATGTGGAAGAATCATTACTTGGATGGGTTATCTATAGGTAAGATCATAATGATTTCATTTTCTTTTCTTGCACATTTCCAGAACTGCTACAGTGTTTATGTATTTTATTATTAGACAAGCAAGTATTGTTTTCAAAACTGTCTTTGAAGAGTATGCTAACTGGCTAGCCAAGTCGAATACTGGTTTCTGTCGGCCTCCTGAAAATCATACTCCAGACAGAATTTACCACTGAGTCATTTTTTCAAACGGTGTTGCTAACAAAAAGATCAGAACCCAAAACAGTGTTTGCTGCCTGCTAGAGTGGTGTTGGTTCTTGACTTCCCAGGTTGAGGCAACAAGAACAAAAACAGTACCAGGATTCCAGAGAGATTGCAAGTGGAAAAATGGACAGCCCACGTGGCAACGCACTGGAAGAAGGTTTGGATGATTATTTGACTCGACTCATAGAAGAAAGGGATACTTTGATGCGGACGGGTGTGTATAATCACGAGGATCGAATAATAAGCGAACTAGACCGACAGATCAGAGAGGTTTTGGCAAAAAACAGTGCCGGTAATTAATAACATTTGGAAAATCTTTACAGAGACTCCAGGCTTAAATTTTAATTTCATTGTCAAACTCTCAAAGGAAGAGAAAATGGATGTTTTGAAAACCGATTTTCACTTTTTTTACAAGCAGAATTTTGTATGTTATTGTACAGTATTTATTTGATTGTATTTACTTTATGCTACCTCTGCTGCCCTGGTTTTATTTGTCATTGCATTTTATACACTCACGTTAAATGACTTTTCATTGTTTCTCATAATTTATGATTTCATGGCCAACTTTCACAACAGCTTTTCACGAGACTTGTTCTTAGAGAAATGACTGCAGTAGTTTCCAGTTACCTGATTTTTCATGTTGAGCCAAAAGAGTCTATGTTGCACTTTAAAAAAGCGGTGTCCTGTTCCTTTGAGTATAGAGATCTCCCAAGTGGAGACCCATTGTAACCAACTGTAACTCATTTTAGATGGCCTGTGTTTTTAACTTGTAACCATTTGCAAAGGACAAGTTTGCAAACAGAAAACAGGATACTGAGTGACAAAACAGTCATGTGTGTAAATAAAGTTAATACAGCATAACCTTGTTTGAGCAGGTAGTGAATTTCCAGCTTTTCAGTGTGCACTTATTTAGCAGGAAGGTGAAAGTCCTAGCTTTAAAAAGGTCTGCTCTGCCAAACTCTTGCTCCAAATCGTAATGTTTTCTTTTCTTGAAAGGAGGGATTTTTTAATCTTCCAGAAACAGTGATGCTTGTTGTTAACCCAAACCCTCTGTAATGTAACAGGCAAACAGAAAGAAAAGGCCCGTGCTGAGAACAGAGAGTGAAAAACGACGATTTTTTAATCGCCCTAATCTTAATCAATCGCTTTTTTTAAGTACATGAGATGAAGTCATTGGATTTATGTAGTGCCCTGTCTAGAAACTTATGAGAATTCCTATACGCCGTCTTCAGGGCCAACATCTGTCCTCAGAGCAACACCTTCCGCCTCCTTGTACAGGGTACCGAAAAGGCTGGTTAGCAGATTCACACATTATGTGAGTCTTAAAATACATGTCGTTTAAAATTTCTGATTCCCAAACAGGAAAACTTTAAGCATACTTGGGGAAATCGATAACGTTTGCCGAGAACTTCCATTGAAGCAGAATAGGCTGGTGGGAAACATGAAAATAATTTTTGGTTCTTTTCAAGGAAATGTATTTTTGGGAAAAGCAAAGCCCCAACAAGCATTATATGTTTCGTTTTGTTTCCTTAATAACAAAGTACTCATCTTCTAAAAACAAACTCAGCAGTAAAACAGAGAAAGAAATGACTAATTGAGAGAATATGGACTCTGTGAATCACAGCAGGAATCGGAAGCATTAATTATGGTTAGACCCTTCCCTCACTGATTCTCATGCCCCACGAACGAACCAGGAGGGGTTGGTTTCGAAGGCCTCTGGGGAAATAATACTGTGACTGCCTTCACCTGCTGTGTGTGCTGCGTGTGACTGTTTTCAGACACTAGAGGGGGCCTCAGATTTAAAGAAACAAAAAGGACTTTCTCACATGGTGTGTGGTTCACTTCGCCTTCTGTAAAGCCGTCCTCTGGCTCTGTCCCTTCACAAATAAAAGTCATAATCCGATGCCACTTGGAGTAGCCAGGCAGCCTGTTGCTTCAGCACAGAATGGACAAGCATTCGGCACCCCCGCCTCCCGTCACTTTGTGTTTTCGGTTGTGTGATGCTTCTGTCGCTGATGCTTTTCTGTGTCTTAAAATTGGGAACATCTGAAATTGTAAAACCTTTCTGGAGTCCCTGAGCGACAGCCCTTTCACCTGTGAGTGTCTGTTAACGCGTTAACACTGGGTGCCTTACCAGGTTAGCATCAGTGTCTGAACTGGGAGTGTAACCACAGCAGACGAGTGTGTGCGGATTCGTGAGCAGGCTTCTCAGTACTGCACCCAGTGGCAGCCCTTCTGTCCAGTATTTTAGTGTGAAACAAAGTAGACCTTTAGGATGTTCGTGGTTCCTCTACTTGGAGAAAGTCTAGTTTCCCCGTCTGAGGCCGGCATATCGTGCACGGAAGAAGGGTGGATCTGGTCCCCCAGCTCGATGCGGCGCCCCGTTGGCGTAAGCGTGCAGAACTCCCTTCCCAGGGTAGCCCGGTCATTTCTGGGTAGCCCTCGGTTCCCGGTGTTGCCGGCAGATGTGGGAGTCTGAGTACGATCGAGGGACGTTTCGGGGCACCTCACAGACAGCCAGAGAAGAGAACGGTGGCCTGTAACCACGACTTTCTTGCCCACTTACTACTGTGTCATTTCTCTGTTTGTACAACATATTGCCTGTTCTTCTGGTCTGAAAAGGGGTCTGCTGGAAGCTCTGTGTGGAATTTTAAAATTTGGCCTCTTGCTATCATTGTGTCCAGCTTGAATGAATAGCTAACTTAATTTTATTGATATAATTCACAACCATAAAATCACTTTTTTTTTTATATTTTAGAGAGAGAGTGCACACTAGCAGGGGAGAGGGCGAGAGGGAGAATCTCAGGCAGGCTCCACACTCCACACAGAGCCTGATGTAGGACTCAATCCCACAACCCTGGGATCATGACCTGAGCCAAAATCAAGAGGCCTTCAACCGAATGAGTCACCCAGGCACCCCTAAAATTCATCAGTGTAAATTATACAATTGAGTGAATGTTATCATATTCACACAGTTGTACAATGATCACTATCTAATTCTAGAACATTTCATTATCCTCACAAGAAACCCCATATACATTAGCAAGTCACTCCCCATTCTTCCCTCTGCCCAGTTCCTGGTGACCACTAATGTCCTTTCTATCACTGTGGGGATTTGACTCTTCTGGACATTTCACGTACATGAAGTCCCCAAGTTGAAATTAAAAAAATTTTTTTAATACTTATTTTAGAGAGAGACACAGAGTGTGAGTAGGGGAGAGGCAAAGAGAGAGGGAGACACAGAAGTCAAAGCTGAATCCAGGCTCTGAGCTGTCAGCACAGAACCCAACATGGCGCCCTAACTCAAGAACCGCAAGATCATAACCTGAGCCACAGTCAGATGTTCAACCAAATGAGCCACCCAGGTGACCCCCAAAGTTGATATATAAAACCGAAACACTGGAAAACCCGAGGTATTTTTCTATAACCAGTTCCAATGTATATAACATTTTATCAGATGTTGTATTAAATGATAATAGGCAGAAGGCCAAAATAAGGGTATATAACGTTTGTCAGTCAATTAAGACAGCTCAACTCTCACTGTCAATCACCTACCAAAGCAGTCACAAATAATAATGAAAGGTGAGGGGTGCCTGGGTGGGTCAGTCGGTTAAGCATCTGACTCTTGACTTCAGTTCAGCTCAGGTTCTCATGACTCCTGAGATCCAGCCCTATGTCAGACTCTGCGCTGATGTTGCAGAGCCTGCTTGGGATTCTTTCTGCCCTTTCCCCGCTCGCTTGCATGTGCTCTCTCTCGCTCTGAAAATAAACTTAAAAACATCTTTATAAAAAGTGTTTAAAAACAGTAAACTTTGCCGCAGATCTGTCTACCCAGTGTTTTTATGCTGAACATTTTCTGTCCACGAGTTGCCCATCAAGCCATCCTTGAAGACCCCACCTTCTCATTCCCTGATTGTAGGAGTGGATCTGCCACTTCCTTACATGTCTGTTGTGCCTTGGTTTACAAAATCAGAAGTTACTGAAAATTAACACCTGCCTTTTCATTGTGACTTCTAAAGGTAACTTGGAGGATCCTTGAAACTTCTTGTTATTACGTTAATGCTTTATAAAATTAAGGGCTTCTTGTCTTGAGGAAAAAGAAAAAAGAACAGAAAACCAGGCAAATCAACACTGGTGTTCCGTTTTGCAGATAGTCCAGACCACGGACATAATAAATGGGAGAGAGAACTCTTCACAACGGATTTCTAGTTGCCTAAATTAGGCGTAGCAGTCTTATTGCTGGTTGGGCTTACCAAATGATGAAGTAATTTGTGTGGGAGTGCTGAATAAAGTCTGCTTGAATAATTTTTCTTACGGCAGGATGTGTAAATTTAAGTCCATCTTTGATACTTGTGTTTTGGCAACTGTAACAGAGGCACTAGAGCCCAGACTTTCCACCATGCCCTTTACTGCTCCTTGCTTTAGAGCAGTCCTTATGCTTCCTCCTCTCCGCTTCCCTCGGCTTCCGTAATTCAGGAAACCAAGATGTAACAACTCATCTATCTTGGTGTAAATGGGAGAGTTGGACAGGATGGTGTAAGCACCTAAATTTTTCACTCAAACCAAAAGAACTAGAGTGTTCACTGATGGTATTCTATAACCTCTATTTGACATCAAGTTCGAATCCACTGTTGTTAGGAATGTTAACTGTAGGAAGGCTGTTGTATACTTAAATCTCATTTTATTTGCTTCTCTGGGGTTGTCCTCATGTTTTCATTAGAAATGTTTTTACAGATGTAGGCTCTTCAGATATGAAGTTGCTCAAGTGGAGACTCACAAGTTTAGCTTTCAAATTAAAGGGGGGTGGAAATCTGTTGAGAAAGATTAATTTATAGGTAATAATTTACTGACTGATACGTTAATGCACAGGGATCCCTAGAGGCTTTTAAAGTTGTAGTCATTATATTCTTAAGGTTTCTAGGAATGTTAAACCTGTCATTCATAATAGGAGAGAACTAAAATAAGACCCATTTATAATTTCTTCTTGGAAACATTTCATCCACAAATTCATAGACAAATATTTTTTCTTCTCCAAATAAACTAATAGTTGGACAGCACAATCCTTTTCTTGATTAACATGTTAACTAGTCGAAAGCATGCAGATACATTGGATGAATGCTGAGTTTTCCTCAATATTTTATATTAAAACTTGGCCGGAGAAAGAGAAATATTGCTGCAAAATCTTACTTTGACATTATTGTAAATGTTCGTGAATGCCAACCCCATACCGAGGCGTCTATGCCTCGGAGGTTTGCAGTGTTTTAAGCTCTTCTTCAGCAAATTCTTCTATTAGTGAGTAGAAGGAACAGGATTCCGAGCCTTAAAGAACTAGGAGTCCCAGTTGTAGGACTTCTCTCTGTCATCCAAAAAATTAACACATGGCCACTACCATTTCCATCTGTTTTAAAAAAACTTTTTTTTAACATTCATTTATTTTAGAGAGACAGAATGTGAGCAGAGGAGGGCAGAGAGAGAGGGAGACACAGAATCTGAAGACAGGCTCCAGGCTCTGAGCTGTCAGCCCAGAGCTCTGTGCGGGGCTCAAACTCATGAACCACAAGATCATGACCTGAGCCAAAGTGGGCCGCTTAACCGACTGAGCCATCCAGGCACGCCTCCATCTGTTTTCTTGAGAGAACTTCGGGATTTCAAGCAAGATCATTATTCCATTACTTGAGTTCAGTTCAGATTTGGGGCAAAATGTGATGCCCTGAAGACAGATGGTCAAATCAAGAATTTGAGGCATGAATACTGAGCCGCTATCTTCAGTCATGCCGTTCCAATTGGATGAGATAGGGTAGCAGACTGGTGTCTTCACCCGGTTGTTGCCCAGAGGAAGGAAATTTCAGTTCTTGACTTAGCTTCATTGTTGGCAGGTGAGATTAATGGGCTTGTCTTGGTCTCTGACTGAAGTTTATTTAGGTAACTAAGTGAAATTTGTAAAATTTGCACAAAGAAAATAAAGGTACTGAAGAGGAAATTGTTTTATAAATAGTCTTCAGAAGTGATTTAGACTACAGACTTTTTTTGCCAATAAAAATTGTATTTGTCACCCCACCTTTGGCCCTCTATCAATCCATTGTCAACCCACATTTCTCTCCATTATCTCTCTGCGCGTGTATGTTTACCAGGAACAAAGGACACCCAAAAGACGTCTTTAAAAGGTTCTTTGAAAACCCCACTAAAAGGAAATGAGAGGAGAACGAGGAAGCGTAGAAAGAATTCACACCCCTGTTTTGTCCTTGGGTCGACCTTTTTTCTTTCTCAGGTCTATGAGGTGTCCAGTGGTTCTGCTGGCTCTTTTATTCATTTGAACCTCAGAGTCCTTGTCCAGATCTATAGGAAGGATGTCTGGGAATCTAACAGCACACAGATGCAGGAGGAGCCCCGCTTGAGATTTGCTGCCTTCGTGCTGCTGCCTTCAGGGTGCGTACGCACAAAGCACGTCCTGGGGACGTGTCCTTCTACCAAAGAGAATAATCTGCCCCTTCTACTGAGATCAGATGAACTGAGGTATCCATCATGATTATGTATATTTTCCTTTATTTGTGTATTTGCATGTTATTATGTTTACATATGCATTTGTAAACTGGGAATCCTTCGTGTAGATAACACTATTCAGTTATATATAAATTCCTAACATTGTTCTTCCTATCCTGTCTTAGAGATTAGACCCCCTGTAACCACTTGTGAACTGTGCAGGGGACAGTGGGCCTCTATTCCCTTTACCGATCGACAGCAAGCAATGGACAGAAGACCATTTCTGCGTTCCGTCCTCAAGCCTTGTCTGTGCTATTATACCTTTCCTGTGATGACTCTATGTCCTGCCCTACTGAAGTTAACAAAAACTTTAGGATTATTAATAAAAGCTCTACTAATGCTTGTTTATTTTATGTCAAAAGGGACTT